ATTTCAAAGCTTGATAAGGCGGGCCCATTTTCAACACACCTGTGAGTCCGTGCGTCATAGGTCCCCTCGTGTGATTTCGCGTTGCATGCCCACAAAAACGTCATCCAACAGACACCACATTCCTACGGCTTCTTCGTGGCATGAATCCTCTTGTGTCGCGCACAAGCGGATGAATCAGAAAATGCCTTCCCGCACACGTCGCACTTGTAAGGCTTTTCCCCAGTGTGGCTCCTCTTGTGCACCACTACGTGAGATGAACATAAAAATGCCTTCCCGCACACGTCGCACTTGTAAGGCTTTTCCCCAGTGTGGATCCTCTTGTGCACCACTAAGTGAGATGAATCTAAAAATGCCTTCCCGCACTCGCCACACTTGTAAGGCTTCTCCCCGGAGTGGGCCCACTTGTGTCTCACTAACTGATGTGACTGAATAAATGCCTTTCCGCACTCGCCACACTTGAAGGGCTTTTCCCCAGTGTGGATCCTCTTGTGTGTAACTAAGTGAGAGGCAAGAGTAAATTTCTTTCCGCACACGTCACACTTGTAAGGTTTCTCCCCGGTGTGGATCCTCGAGTGCCTCACAAGGGAGCTCTTCCAGGGGAACTCCTTGCCACACACCCCGCACGCGTGAGGTCCGCCCTCAGTGTGACTTGCAAGGTGGTCCCGCAATCCGCTCTCAGTCCGGAAACGCTGGCCGCACTCCCCACAGTTGAATCCGCGGCGCGCCTTCCTGCCCGTCTCCTTGCTCGAGGCCTGCTCGTCCTGGACCGCGTCGCCAGCCGGCACTGCGAGGGAGAAGGCCTCGCCGACGAGCAGCTGCTGGGCCTGCTCCGCGCCGACGCCTGCAACCCACGGCCACGGTAAGGGCGGGTCGGTTGCGCAACTGCGGCGACCCATGAGAGTTAAGATAGTTCGAGCGACAACGCTATTGTAAACACAAAGAGATGAAAATTTGAGAGTAGGCTCCTAAGATAGTGACTTAATCATCTGCAAAGTTTCAAACCAGGTCACCGGGCAATATCAGTAATAATATGCGATTAAAAGTAGCCGAGAATAGCATTGCCGCTTATGGGAGTAGGGTTATGTTGCCCATCCGAACCCGGTATATTTCGTTTTTAAAATGCTTGGAGTAAAGTCAAACCGATAAAAAGCATACCTTTATTAGGATTTTTAGTCACTTTACGAAATAAAAGAGAGAAAATAGAGCGTAACCGGACGTGGCGTGGACGTGGCGATGGTAAAGCAGTGGCTATCCCCAAACGTAACTGTCAACTAAGTACACACTTACAAATGCATGCTTGCAAGTAGACACTTACAAACGCATGCTTGACGCCGAATAACTCCATGCGTCAAGCATGCGTTTGTAAGTGTGTACTTGCAAGCATGCATTTGTAATTGTGTAAATAGCCAGGCATGCGTCTGTAAGTGTGTACTTAGACAGTTAGGTTTGCAGTGTATTTACAGGGGCGAGGTAGCTCATTTTGCCTACCTTCCAGGCAGCCCATCAAGTACCCGAGAGAAGGGAAAAGACCCTATTACTCCCCTTCTGCAGCCGCGCCCGTACAGTGGACGACCCAGGGCCATTCCGATACTATACTCTGACCAGAAAACGAGGAGCCCTGGGTCCTCGCGGTCGAGGGCTACCTGCAATGCTATCCAAGGCGGCAGATGCCATAAACCGCGAGAACTCAGGGCTCTTCGTTTTCTGGTTAGAGCATTCTTGCCGTGTTCGAAAACAAATCATTCCCCTTCCGAAAGACTCACCTGCAGCGAGCTTCGAGTCCGGCATGCTTCCCTCCTCGTCAGGCTGGTCGAACACTCCGTCCAGCGGCGGGCACGGACCGCCATGGCCTGGGCCTGGAAGAGAACCACCGTCATTGGCAGAACCAGCCGATGGGCAAAGGGGACGGAGGGGACAGACAGACAAAACTTTTCAACCCCACTGGAGTAACGGGCTTCGCTATCGCTCAACCAACAATTTGAGTAAGTTTCGTCCCGATCTGAGAACATGCCGACTCAGTTGGCGTGGAATCGTCCCTTGCGCTTATGGCAATTGACAAGGTGCGCGGAGCCAACCACACTGATAAAAATTTTGTCGTAACTTAGCGACACATTTATCGCTAACTTTTTTAGCAACAAGATTTGTTGTGGAACGAAAAGCTTGTTAATCCGTAGTCGTATTGGAAGTAAGGGATCATTTCACAACGACTTACTTGTAATAACGCACCAACAATAATACATCAACGACAAGTATTGAAAGTACAAAAGAAATTCTGTAATGTCTGCGACAATATTCATAGAGTACTTTTGTCGCTGAATTTATTTTACATGGTTTTTTTTTAATAGTAATTTCCATATGACTTAGAAGAACAAAATGGATGATTATTCATAATATGCTTTAATTAAGCAGATAATTGCAAAAGATGTTGTTTCCACACAAATTGTATCGTAAAGAGTGATAACAAGAATTTTGTTCCTCAACGACAAAATGTCGCTTACTAGACTCAACGACATTTGTTTCGCTTTGGTTCATGATGAAATTCTATGTTTTGGAACGACTAAATTTTCACTCATCTGATTGTTACTGTACAACCATTTTTTAACAGTGCACCTTTCCTATGCCTGACATGCTTCATGTCCCAATGCCAAGTATGCGTCTCCAAGAGTGTGCTCCATGAGCACACACTTCGAGGTGCAAGCTTCGGCAAGTATACACGCCCCGAGGCCCATGCTTGCAAGCACGCGCTTCGAGGAGTGTACTGGGTACACACAAGTGCTCCCACAGGGGAACGCATCGAAGCGACCGGCAAGGGTTGATCCAGCGTAACACTTAGAAACGAAAGGGAACCTCACACACTACCCGAAGTTATGGCAACCTACGAAGTTGCGTGAGCGGCACACTGTGTAAAGCGTTGGACAAGACTGACTCACCTGCAGCGACCTTCGGCTCAGGGATGCTTTCTTCCTCGTCAGGCACGCACGGCGACGGCTGCAGTCCGGAACCCAAGTCGCAGTCCGCACTCTCCGTCGACAAGTCGATGCTCTCGGTTTTGAAGTCTGGACAGAACACAACGAGTCAGCACCCAAGATGACAACCAGCGTCCACACAGAAAAGACTCTACGATAATCGCTTCGTAATGCGAAGAAACCGGAGGCATGGTAAAATGTACGAAGAAGTATGCTTCGTATTATCAAGCAAAATCCTTCGTAAAACAAAGCTTTTTTCATGACACTAAGGAATAACTACAAAGCCTTCGATTTCTTTGTAGTTACGAGGCAAACGCTTTAAGCGTTAATAACGCTTCGTAGGCTTTGAAGGGTGCACTGGACGTGTCCCGGGCGACCCGGCATGCAAAACCCCCCTAGGCATGCAGCACTACACTACAAGAAAGGCGGTACTGGGTGCAGGAAGATGAAGACGATTCTTAGGAACTGCGAAAACGACCGTTCCCGGACTATCCGCCACAATTATAATGCGAATAGACCGTTTTCAAAGCTTCGCTATCAAAACCGAGCAGACGAAGGACGCAGGTACGGACGAGATGACGGAATAAAATGCGGTCCTCGTCGCCACCCGCGGACGTTTGAACATCACGAAATTTCTAGATCCGAAGCTTCCACGTTGTCTTTACGGACGAGACAGGGAGCTCTCCGCATTCAAAGCGAAACACACTTTGCGAAATGCGCACGCATTGCACTCATGTTGCTCCGGATTGATGCAATCTCGGGTGTCTTCGGAGAATCGCAGCAAGGACCCCTCCTCTGCACACAGTCTACACTCAAACCCTGCCTGTCCGACCCCCTGCTCGGGGCCTGCACTGCGGTGGAGAAGGTCGCACTGAGCGGGAACCGCTGGGTCTGGTCCGCGGCAAAACCTGCAACCGAACAAACGCAGTTAGTGTCTGAACTCCCTCTGTTAGCGGCAGGGGAAAAAATTGATGCAGTGAAGACGAGGAGGCCTTGAACACGGCGTGGAACTTCACTCTAAATGTCTTACAATGAAATTTGACCTATGTTATTCGTATGTTACGGTGATTTCAGCGCAAGCATAATCCGAAGCAATATCTCTTCGTAATACGAATCTTTTCAGCTTTCTCACTGTAAGATACAAAGAAAAACCTTCGTAATACGAAGAAAAACCACCTTCGTATTATGCTTGCGCCATTTCCTTCGTATTATGGGAAATTTCTTCGCAAGACATTTAGAGTGTTGAAGAGAAAGCTCCCCTCAGGAAGTCTCGTCGAAATCAAAACGCGTCACTGTCAACGAATGAGGCGTAACCTTTGTTAGAATGCGCATTTCAAAACGTTCGTCTCAAAACTACATTTCACCCGTCAGAATGTTGACCAACAGTATAAGGCGAATGAGACAAAATAATTAAAAAGTCGTGACACGTTCAAACAAAAGTGACTTGGTATACAATCGAAGGTGGAAAAAATTCACATACGGCATCACTTTGGTTACAAACAGGCTGTCGTCAGTGCGCAGCGCAGGCGCACCCAAAAGGAAAAACACACTTCGAACGATACTGCTACCGATAAAACAAGAAACTTACCGCTTCGAAATACATTGCACTTACAATGTACGTCAACGAAGTTCCAGTGGCAACGTGTGCCCGTTCGTGGGAGGAACGAGATGGGGGTCAGTCAACATTAATGGTGCGAACAGTTAGATTTTATTTCGTACAATCATTTCGATAATGGAAAAGTCTACTACAGCTCGCTCAACACCCAGTTTTGTACAATCAAGTCGATCTTAAGAAAACCTTCGTTTTTCTGGTTGAAAGAAGGGGATACAAACAACGTGTTACGGAAAAGGGGGGACTTGCAATCGGTATTCCCGCAGACTACACTGTCACTTTACACTTCTCAGAACAACAACACTAACTGGCAAAAATGTCGACGAAGAGAAACAAGTGGCCCACTTCCGAGAGATAGGAAATAAAACAAAAAAATCGTCCGTGTGGCAACTTAGCACGGGAAATAAAATAAACTGAAATTCAAAAAGAATGCAATACTGGTGCTCACTTTACACAGCAACTCTTCATTAAAAGGCAAGGACATAATCCAAAGAAACAAGGTCGACATAGACGAGAACAGAAGATTAACTCAGAGTGAAGCAAAAACCAGCTTCACAGAGATCGCCCATTCTCAACACACCTGTGTGCGTCCGCGCGTCATAGGTCCCCTCGTGTCATTTCGCGTTGCATGCCCACAAAAACATCTTTCAACAGACACCACATTCCTATGGCTTCTTGGTGGCATGAATCCTCTTGTGTCGCGCACAAGTGGATGGATCAGAAAATGCTTTCCCGCACACGTCGCACTTGTAAGGCTTCTCCCCAGAATGGATCCTCTTGTGCACCACTAAGTGAGATGAAACGGAAAACGCCTTCCCGCACACGTCACACTTGTAAGGCCTTTCCCCAGTGTGGGTCCTCTTGTGATTCACTAAATGAAATGACAGAGCAAATGGTTTTCCGCACTCGTCACACTTGAAAGGCTTCTCCCCGGTGTGGATCCTCGAGTGCCTCACAAGAAAACTCTTCCAGGGGAACTCCTTGCCACACACCCCGCACGAGTGAGGTCCGCCCTCAGTGTGACTTGCAAGGTGGTCCCGCAATCCGCTCTCAGTCCGGAAACGCTGGCCGCACTCCCCACAGTTGAATCCGCGGCGCGCCTTCCTGCCCGTCTCCTTGCTCGAGGCCTGCTCGTCCTGGACCGCGTCGCCAGCCGGCACTGCGAGGGAGAAGGCCTCGCTGACGACCAGCTGCTGGGCCTGCTCCGCGCCGACGCCTGCAACCAAGGGACGGGCAAGTAAAGGTGGATCGGTTGCGCAACGGGCGGCGACCCATAAGAATTAAGGTGACAAGCATGGATCAGGAATTTGGCTACCTCTATTATCCTCTTTTGCAGCCGCGCCTCTACAGTGGACGATCCAGGCCCATTACGATACTAGACGGGTTCGAAAACCAAGGGCGGATCCAGAGACTGGTTCAGGGGGGGGGGATGTCGCGAAAGTTGCCTACCTACAGGGGTAATGTGCGACTTTTTGCCTACCTTTCAGGCGGCTTCGCCCCCCATCACCCCCCCCCCCCCCCCCCCCCCCCCCTTGGATCCATGCCTGTCGAAAACAAATGATACCCCTTCGGAAGGACTCACCTGCAGCGACATGCTCCGGCATGCTTCCCTCCTCGCCAGGCTGGTCGAACACTCCGTGCAGCGGCGGGCACGGACCGCCATGGCCTGGGCCTGGAAGAGAACCACCGTCATTGGCAGAACCAGCCGAGGGCGCAGAGGGGGCGGCGAGGGCCTTACCGCACACAGCGCACTGCACGCACGGGGACGGCTGCAGTCCGGAGCTCCAGTCGCAGTCAGCACTCTCCGTCGGCAAGTCGATGCTCTCGGCCTTCACACCTGGACAGTAAGGGGAGTCAAAGACAAATTGACTCCCTTCTCCATACTCTCAACATCTTATGATCGTTTTTATACGTATTACGATGGTTTTTCATCGTAAGGTACGCTTAAATTTGCACATACGTAATATGCATAGGTTTCAGCGTAAGGTATGCATGATTTCATCGTATTACGCATGAATTTTATTGTAGTACGTATGTTCTCATTTCAACGTAAGTTGTGATGACCCTTTCATCATAAGAATCTGAGTGTGCATGACCAACGCCTTTCATGCAAAAGCATCCCACAGACAGGCAAATATTAATGCTAACTCTTTCTGGAAACAGGGCACCCAATATGACAAACAGTGTCAAACTAGCGGGTTTTGTAGGCCCCGCCATGCAAAGGGATCCCTATGGCATGCAAAATTATAGCAGAGTCTCGTTCGAAATGATGTTTGCAGCACACCAATTCACATGAGAAAGCGAAATCGACGGCAGGCACTTCATGCAAAGCACTACTTCAAACTAAATAAGAGAGGCCACAAAGAACAAACATGCCGGTGCAAATACATATGCTGCAAAGAAATCGAAATGGCTTATTTGCACAACAGGAATACACAAAAAACAAAATACTTAGAAGGAAGTGAGCTACGTCTGAACTGGTTAAGTGGCAGAGCCAAAGTATGATTTTGACAGTGTCCAAATAAGTAATTTGATAACTCAAACAAAGAGCTAGCGCAATGATGGTCAGATATGAGTTTTCACAAACAAAGGTAGAGGAACTGGCACTTTTCACATGAAAACGCATTTGTCAACAGAACAGCTAAACATAGCTGCACAACAATTTCAACACAACTTTTAAATATGCCTCAATTGGCTAATTTGTAAATCAAAAGTCTCGACTGCTTAATTCAGATTAAACCCATTGAACATTACTCGTTTTGGCACATTCGTAAGGTGCTAAGAACAGAAGCGAACCAAAGAACATTCACGAGAACATTCGTGCCAAAACCAAGGTAAGAGTTCAACAGTTACCAAATAAGTGACCGGTTCATACCTTCGACAAGGTCAGTCAATACTAGCGGGCAATGAGGGTCAACTTTGAATTTTTACGTACAAAAATAGAAGAACTGATACTGATACTGATACATGTAAACGCCAACGCATCTTTAAACAGAACAGGTAAACATAGCTGCATACCAATTCGAACACAAAATGATACGTAAGGGAAGGTGGGGTACCATGTGACGGTTTTTGTTAAATGCCCGTCAACCCAATAATACCAATCACATTACATCCATAAGTAGACATGTGAACAAAATGATTCTTCACCTTATAATTTCTGTTGAGATTTGGGACAGAAAGGACAGAAAGAATGGACAGAAAGGAAAGTTAGACAAATAGACTCCCTTCTCCATGGCCAACGCCCATCACGCCAAAGCATCCCACAGACAAGCAAATATTCATGCCAACATTCCCTAGATACTGGAAACAGGGTGTAAGCAACGCTTAAAACGCGACCGTTCAGGAACTGGTAGTTAACTACATACAATTAATCGGCACTGGTAAACTTCCTTTTAACGTTTATGTAGAATTTTGTACGAGTAACTAGCGCAATTTTGTACACACGTGGAGTTTGCATAATATTATGCGTCAAAATGCATGACTTTATGAAAATTTGAGAACAATTTCATGCAAGACGTCACACGAGTTTAAACAAGCTAGGGCCCGCCCTTCCGTCGAACCGAGTTGCCAGCTCCGCTTCGCTGCGCCGGCAACTCGGTTCGACAGGGGGCCGGCCCAGCTTGGCCTGCCGGCAGCCTTTCCTCGGGCCTTCGGCCCTCGCATCAGACCCAACTTGGCCAGTCGAAGGCCCGGGCCTTCGGCCCGCCCAGCCGAGAATGCATTTCCGATTCGAGGTCGAATCGTCGTCGTTGCACTCGATAATGGCTCGAAGTCGTTTTTCACCTCGAATATTCACCAAAATCGAACGATGGATTTTATATAATAAAAACCTTGGACAGACTGAGGGGACTTAATCGGCTTGAAGTCGATCTCGAATCGACACCGATTTAAAGTACATATCGATGCCGAATCGAGGATTTTCTAGCCTTCCAGATGAACGTCGATTCGACCCCGAATCGTAAATGCATTTTCGGCTGAGGCTCGCATCACACACACCGTGAGCGGGTAAAGCAAAGTTATCGATGTACCATCGTGACTTAGGCCCGCCCTTCTATTCACAATATGCAAAAGTCCTTACACTTTTTACTCCAACTGTCCTTAGAATATGCCCATTTCGTTTGTCTTTTCGCCCTCATTCCGAAAATACCCATATTTGCCATGCTAGGGGCCGTCCATAAAATACGTAACGCTTTTTGAGGCCATTTTTGACCCCCCCGCCCTAGGGTGGCCCACGCGAAAAAAAAAGTTTCAAAATCGAGGAGCGCCGTACGGAATCTTAAAGTTCGGCCCAAAAAAAGATTTTTCCGCATTTTTTCGATTTTTTTGGAGCATTTTTAGAGGCCGCTCAACGCGCTCAAAGCTTTTAGAAAAATAATGAATTTCAGTGAATAATACTTTTTGGTGCTGTAATTCGAGTTTTGATCGCAAAGAGAAAAGCGACACGCCGAATTGTTCGTATTGATCCCTAGAATAAGTTTAAAAATACTGCATACCGAATATGCACATGGCCTACTTTCCAGGGGCGAAAAACTGCAAAAAAATTGGGGGAAAATGCCGGATTTTCATCTTTAAGGCCGATTTGACACCTTTCCCGCCGTCGGATCGTCTTTTCCTATGCGCCAATCGATTCCCCACACCGAGAGGACCCCTAGAAACACCTTGGACTATGCGAGTAAACGACTGCCTATTTTCCAGGGGCGATCAATTTAAAGAAACGTTCAGGTTTTGTGCCTTTTTTCACATTATAGGGCCAGTTTGACACCTCTCTGGGCGTCCTATCGTCTTGCTCTGTGCGCCAATCGACTTCTCATGATGCGAGAACCCCTAGAAACAACTTGGACGATGCGAGTAAATGACTGGCTATATTGCAGGGGTGATCAATTTAAAGAAACGTTCGAAATTTGCGTTTTTTCCACCTTTCGGGGTCAGTTTGACACCTTTCTAGGCGTCCTATCGTCTTGTTCTATGCGCCAATCGATTCCTCACGATGAGAGAACCCTAAGAAACACTTTGGACAATGCAAGGAAACGGTTAATACCTGATTAGCGGTGATCAGATGGGGGTTAGGGCGGCAAAATGTGCGAAACCGGCCCAAAACGGCTAAAACAGAGGTTCCTTTCATACTTTTCTTGATTTGATGGCGCCCGACAGGTAGCCTATCCTCAACCCATAGTATCAAAGTTGTGTGTAGGGGTTCTCTCATCGTGAGGAATCGATTGGCGCATAGAACAAGACGATAGGACGCCTAGAAAGGTGTCAAACTGACCCCGAAAGGTGGAAAAAACGCAAATTTCGAACGTTTCTTTAAATTGATCACCCCTGCAATATACCCAGTCATTTACTCGCATCGTCCAAGTTGTTTCTAGGGGTTCTCGCATCATGAGAAGTCGATTGGCACACAGAGCAAGACGATAGGACGCCCAGAGAGGTGTCAAACTGGCCCTATAATGTGAAAAAGGCACAAATTCTGAACGTTTCTTTAAATTGATCGCCCCTGGAAAATAGGCAGTCGTTTACTCGCATAGTCCAAGGTGTTTCTAGGGGTCCTCTCGGTGTGGGGAATCGATTGGCGCATAGAAGAAGACGATCCGACGGCGGGAAAGGTGTCAAATCGGCCTTAAAGATGAAAATCCGGCATTTTCCCCCAATTTTTTTGCAGTTTTTCGCCCCTGGAAAGTAGGCCATGTGCATATTCGGTATGCAGTATTTTTAAACTTATTCTAGGGATCAATACGAACAATTCGGCGTGTCGCTTTTCTCTTCACGATCAAAACTCGAATTACAGCACCAAAAAGTATTATTCACTGAAATTCATTATTTTTCTAAAAACTTTGAGCGCGTTGAGCGGCCCTTAAGAATGCTCCAAAAATATCGAAAAAATGCGGAAAAATCTTTTTTTGGGCCGAATTTTAAGATTCCGTACGGCGCTCCTCGATTTTGAAACTTTTTTTTTTGCGTGGGCCACCCTACCCCGCCCCCCTATGAAAGGCAGCGTACCGCTGCCTTGGACCTTTCCCCCCTCCCCCGGTGCGTTACGTGACGAATTGCTTAAAAGTTAAAAGCACGCAGAACCGTAGAACGGGGTAATATGAGACATGAAGGAAAATCGAGACAAAGCGCCCTTTTTTTGGTTTTTGTCGTGTTGCTCTCAAGCAGTTGCTCAGAAGACCATCGTGAATTTTTTTCGTGATCTAGGAGGCCTTGGCAGCTCACAGGAAACGCACGAAGGCAACCGGAGACTCGCCAGGATTATTAAGAACCAAACGAAAATCCTCTAAATTCTGACAAGTTTTTTAAAGTTCGTAAAAACCTCCCCAGAAGCCTCGGTTGGAACTCGGGTTCTCGTCCGAACGAGGTTTAAATCTGTAGACAATCATGTCAACATAATCAGGACGAAATTTCGTTCATACAATTTTGTTACCTTGCATGGAAAATAGAGACACCTCTTTTCGTTTCAAACATGAGGCCAAACATACTCCACTGTTATTAATTTCAAGTAATAATGATTTTAACACGAATTGGTTTTACTACCTGACCGGCATCTATGCTCTTCTCTTAGTATTTCCATGTGACAGGCACAACTCATGACTTCTTAGACATTTTTCAGCTCTCTTAAGTGACACCCATTTTTCTTCCCTCCAGATTTTATCTCTTCTTCATTATGGTCCCCAATCATCTTAAAAATGAATGAAAAGAACTTAAAAAGCTCCAAACCCGCCTGAATGAGTTAATTTTCCATACTTCTTTACCATTTTTCTCTTTTGTCTCATATTACCCCACATTGCAGGGAAATATGGGACGGCATTCCGAGGGTTATTGAGAGGTCCCTACTGCACCT